TCAACATGTGGTCCTTATTTGGACTTGATATAAACCCAATTAAAAAAAATAATCACGCCCAGCTCATGGCCTGGTGACGGTGGTTTAAGCAGCTGAATCCTATATTACTGACTATGCAGTTTGAATTCCAGCCCTAATGGCTTGAAAAACACATTGGGTGTATTTGCATACATGTCTAAAATCCCAAAAGGAGCGAAAAATGGAGAGGGGATTTCAGTATGACCATGCCCCATTGAGGGTGCTTTCTCCCCCACTCCCACTTTCTCTGTTTCTCTCTGGCGAGCACAAACACCCTCTAGCAATTTTTTTTTTTTAATTTAAGTTTTTGCCATAGGGCATGTGTGTTCACTGGAGAGATAGAGACAGAGAAGGAAACTGAGAAATCACCCCTCAGGGAATGGCCACGCTCCCTTTTCCTCCATTCTTATCCTAGGATTTGGGGTACATACACACATGTGCCTGAAGTGATTGTCAAGCCTCCAGGTTTAGGATTCAAACCATAGTTGGCTATGTGGGAGTCCAGTGCCTTAACTACTATACCACCTGGTGGCCCCAACCTTGGCAATTTTTAATTTTTTTTAGACAGATTTTTGCTATACGGCAGATGCGCTCACTGAAGAGACAGAAAGTGAGAAATCACCCCCAGGTGGCTGGTTATGCTGCAATCCCTTCTCCATTCTCCTTCCAGGATTTTGGGCACACATGAACATGTGCCCCCAGGGAGGATGGCCACTCCACACTCCCTTCTCCATTCTCCTCTCAGGATCCTGGGCACACATGCACATGTGCCCGGCGTGAGTTTAAGCCACCAGGTCTAGGACTCGAACCGTGGTCGACTACATGGGAGTCCAGCGACATAGCTATTACGCTAACTGCTGGTCCTCGCCCCAGTGTGAATTTTAAGCTGCTGGGTCCAGGACTTGAACCGTTATCGACTATGTGGGAATCCAATGATGTAACCATGATGCGATCTGCTGGTCCCAGAATTTTTTAAAATTTATTTATTTTATTTCATTTGTTATACTTTTTTTTTTTTTTTTTTTTTTTTAATTTGACAAAAAAGTGGGAAAGAGAGGGAGAGAGAAAGGGAAAGTGAGAAAGCAAGCCATCAGGTCTGGGACTTGAACCATGGTCAGCTACATGGGAGTTAAGAGACATAGCCATTACGTTAATTGCTGGTCCCGAAATTTTTGTTTTTAAAAATAATTATTTTATTTAACTTTATTATTTTTAAAATTAATTTTATTCATTCATTTATTTTAATTTGATGAGAGAGAGAGAGAGAAAATGAGAAAGCAAGCCACCAGGTCCAGGACTCAAACTGTTGTTGGCCACGTGGGAGTATCCAGTGCCTTAACTACCATGCCCCCTCCTGGTCCCCTATTTATTTATTTTAATTTGGCCAGAGAGAGACAGAGTTAGTGAGAGAGAGAAAGTGACAAAGCAAGTTACCAGGTCCAGAACTTGAACCATGGTTGTGCATGTGGGAGTCCAGCACTCTTAACCACAATGCCATCTGCTAGCCCCTAAATTAAATATTTTAAAAATAATTATTTATTTTTAGTTGTATTTACTCATTCATTTATTATTATTATTTTTTAAAATTTTAACCAGAGAGAGACAGAGAGAAAGTGACAAAGAGAGAGAAAAAGAGAAAAGTGAGAAAGCAAGCCACCAGGTCCGGGACTTGAACCATGGTTGTTTATGTGGGAGTGTCCAGCACTTTAACCACCACGCCACCTGCTAGTCTCCAAATTCAATTTTTTTAGAGAGATTTTTGCTATAGGGCACATGTGCTAGACAGAGAGACAGAAAGTGAGAAATCACCACCCAGGAGCATGGTCATACCCCAATCCCTTCTCCTCCATTCTCCTCTGGGGATCTTGGCATGCACACACATGCGACAGCATGAGTTTGTTTTTTTTTTAAAGAATTATTTAATTTTATGTATTCGTTTATTCATTTGAATTTGACCAGAGAGAGAGAGAGAGAGAGAAAGTGAGAAAGCAAGCCACTAGATCTGGGACTTGAACCGTGGTCAGCCTTGTGGGAGTGTCCAGTGCCTTAACCACCACGTCATCTGCAGATAAAATTAAATTTAAAAAAAGTTAATGCAGATCCCTTCTTTTTTTTTTAGGGAGTTTTTTTAGAGAGATTTTTGCTATAGGGCATGTGTACTCACTGGAGAGACAGAGAGAGAAAGTGAGAAATCACCTTCCAGTGGGGATGACCATACCACAATCTCTTCTCCTCTGTTCTCCTCTCAGGATTTTGGGCATGCACATACATGTGCCTGGCTTGAGTTTAAGCCACCAGGTCCAGAACTTGAACCGTGGTCAATTGCGTGGGTCTAGCAACACAGCCATTACACATTTGCTGGTCCCAGGTTTTTTTAAAGAATTATTTATTTTTAATTTGGCCAGAGAGAGAGAGACAGAGTGAGAGAGAGACAGAGGAAAAATGAGAAAGGAAGCCACCACGTCCGGGACTTGAACTGCGGTCACCCAGGTGGTAGTCCAACACCTTTAACTACCATACAATCTGCCAGCCCTACCCAGTGTGAGTTTTAAGCCACCAGCCTGGGACTCAAACCGTGGTCAACCACATGGGGTCCAGCGACCATTACACCATCTGCTGGTCACTTTTTAAACTTTTTTAGTTTTTACTATGGGATGTGTATACTCACCAGAGAGAAGGAAAGACTACGAGAGGGAAAGTGAGAAATCACTCCCCAGGGGAGTGATGGTCACAACAAAATCTCTTTTCCTCTCCCCTCCTGGGATTTTGGGTATGTATGCACACACTCCTGGTGTGAGTTTTAAGTCACTGAGTCCACGACTCTAACCATAGTCAGCTATGTGGGAGTCCAACACCTTAACCACCACACCACTGGCTGGCCCCTTGTTTTTTTTTTTTTTATCTTTTCTTATTTATTTTTTTTTTTTTAGAGGTTTTTGCTATAGGGCATGTGCGCTCACCAGAAAGACAAAGAGAGACAGAGAGACAGAAAGTGAGAAATCACTCCTAGCGGGGATGGCCACACCGCAATCGCTTCTCCTCCATTCTCCTTTTGGGATCTTGGGCATGCACGCACACGCGCCCGGCATGAGTTTAAGCCACTGGGTTTGGGATTCGAACCGTGGTTGATTACATGGGAGTTCAGCAACATAGCCATTGTGCCAACTACTGGTCTCAAAAATCTTCATAATACATATTCAAATACTTTTTGGTGGAATAGTAAGGTGCACATGTATTAGTTATCTATTGTCCAGTAAGAAATTACTCACAAAAATGTACCACCTTAAAAAAACAATAAAGGTTGTTTCTGTGGGTGAGGAATCTCTGATGTTTTATCCCTGACATATTTGCATAGCCCAGGATAGAGCTAGGCAGGAACCTAGAAGGAATTTGCCTGTTGTGGTGGGGAAGGTGACTGACATCTGGACAGCCTTCTGGGGTCCAGAATCTAGTGTCCAAATTCTAGCTTTGGTGTCATTCTGCTGCCATCTTGTGGCAAACACAGAATAATCATCCCTCCCACCTGGGACTTCTGTGTGAAATTTTTGTTTGGTTGTTTTTTTTAAGTTGCCATAGGGCCCGTCATCTTGCCATTGGACAGAGAGAGAGTGGAAGAGAGAGGAGGAAAGTGAGAAAATCACCACACCACCCCCTACCCAAAGAGGATGGCTACTCTGCAATCCCTTCTCCTTCATTTTCCTCTCAGGATTTTGGGCACGTATGCACATGTTCCAGCTGTTTTTTAAGCCACTGAGTCTAGGACTTGAATCATGTTGTTGGCTATGTGGGATCCAACTGCCTTAACCACCATGCCATCAGCTGGCCCAGTAAAGTATAAATTTTTAAATGCTGGGGACCAGGTAACCAGCAGTTAGCGTAATGGCTAAGTCACTGGACTCCCACGTAGTTGACTACGGTTCAAGTCCCAGACCTGGTGGCTTAAAACTCACGCCGGGCGCGTGTGTGTGCATGCCCAAGATTCCAAGAGGAGAATGGAGGAGAGGGGATTGCGGTGTGGCCATTCCTCCTGGGGGGTGATTTCTCGTTTCTGTCTCTCTGTCTGTCTGAGCGCGCGCCCCATAAAAGAAAAACCTCTCCAAAAAAAAAAAAAAAAAAAGCTAGGACCAGCAGATGGCATAACAGCTATATCACTGGACTCCCATGTAGTCGACTGTGGCTCAAGTCCCGGATTTGGTGGCTTAAATATGCCGGGTGCATGTGCGTGCATGCCCAAGATCCTGAGAGAAGAATGGAGAAGGGATTGTGGTGTGGTCACCCCCCGGGGGGTGATTTCTCGCTTTCTGTCTCTCTGTATCTGTCTTTCTGGTGAGTGCATGCTCCCTACAGCAAAAACCTCTCCAAAAAATAATTAATCGAATTTACAATAAAGCACGTGTGTGTGTGAACATGACAGTGAGTGAGATGAGCACCCTCTACAGAGTCTGGTCACACCACGATCTTTCTTCTAGCCCTCTAGTCTTGGGGTGTTGTGCACATGCCCAGTATGTTTCAGGCTGACTGAGCCAGGGACTCAAACCACAGTTAGCATGTGGAAATCAGCTTCTCCTGAGCAGCACATGACTGCTGCACCATAGAGCCAGCCCACATTCATAAATATTTTAAGAGTCATTTTCTACTTGGATTTCTCAGAAATTTAACACATTTTGAGTGGTAATAGAAGACTCTTCTACATTCATATTAATTTTCTTAGCATAGGTTTTCTGATGTTTAATATACAGTGACTGAAGCAAAAAAGAATTCCCGCATTTATTCAGTTTTCTTCTGGTATGAATTCTTTGATCTTCTATATGACAAATAAAGGTTATCTGACATTAATTCTATCATATTAATGTAGATCTAATATTGAGTCAGATGTGAACTCCTCATAAAGTTGTTTTTTTATTTAACTTTATTTATTGTTATTATTTTAGTTTTTTAAAGTTGACCAGAGAGAGAAAGAGAGGGAAAGTGAGAAACCAAGCTGCCAGGTCCTGGACTCGAACCATGGTCAGCCATGATGAGTCCAGTAGCTTTAACTTCCATGCCACCTGCTGGCCCCAAGCTTTTTGAGGCGTTCTAACCAGTATGAATTCTATAGTGTTCGATGAGTTGTGAGCCAAGAATAAAGGCCTGCCCACATTCTCTACATTCATATGGTTTGATGCCAGGATGAATTCTCTGATGCTCGGTAAGCTGTGAACTACGAATAAAGGCCATTCCACACTCCCGACATTCATAGGGCTTCTCACAGGTATGAATTCGCTGATGATGGGTCAATTGTGAAACACGAATGAAGGCTTTCCCACATTCCTTACATTCATAGGGTTTGTCACCTGTATGAATTCTTTGATGTTGAATAAGGTATGAGCTACGACTAAAGGCCTTCCCGCAGTCCTTGCATTCATAGGGTCTATCACCGGTATGAACTCTCTGATGTCTAGTTAGCTGTGCGTGCTGTCTGAAGGCCTTCCCACATTCCTTACATTCGTAGGGCTTCTCCCCAGAATGAATTCTTTGATGTCGAGTTACTTCTGAGCTATGGATAAAGCCCTTTCCACATTCTTTACATTCATACGGTTTCTCTCCGGTATGGATTCGCTGGTGTACGGTAAGTTGTGAATGCTGTCTAAAGGCCTTCCCACATTCTTTACACTGATAGGGCCTGGCACCTGTATGAATTCTCCGATGAACAGTAAGTTGTGAGCCACGAATAAAAGCCTTCCCACAGTCTTTACACACATACGGTTTCTCACCTGTATGTGTTCTGTGGTGCAGAATGAGTTGTGAATGCTGCCTAAAGGTTTTTCCACATTCTTTACATTCATAGGGTTTGACACCAGTATGAAGCCTTTGATGGAGAATAAGTTCTGAAGTGCGTCCAAAGGCCTTTCCGCACTCTTTACAGTCGTAGGGCTTTTCACCTGTATGAATTCTCTGATGCTGAACAAGGTGTGAAGCACGGCTAAAGGCCTTCCCGCAGTCCTTACATTCGAAGGGTTTCTCACCAGTATGAGTCTTCTGATGTTGGATGAGGTGTGAGCCACGGCTGAAAGCTTTCCCACATTCATTACATTCGATCAGTTTCTCACCAGTCTCATTGCTCTGATGAGAGAGAGATGTGTGACGCTTGAAAGAAGGCGTGTTTTTATAGGTGATTTTCACTTGCTTGAAGTAGCATTCCTGATTTATTTCAAACTGGCCTTTGCATTCCCAGTCATCCTTAAAACTGGGGCCTTCAAGATCACAGTATGTAAAGCTCTTCATTGTCTCCCAATTGAACGATTCTATTTCAAAAATATCTTTTTGTAGGAATGTCTCACACCTGGACGCCAAGTCTGAAAACAACAAAAACAAAAACAATTTGTTCTCTTTTATGACGAGTAAAAATTCTTTAGTAGAATAGGAAGACAAAATGAAAATAACTACCACAAACAGCAAATGGCTTAAATACTGTACAATTTCTACAAAGTACACAAAAGTGCAAATATAATAAGAGCCAGTGCCAGAAGGGGGTAAGAAAACAAAGGAAGCCAGGGTTTTTTAAAATTTTGATATAGATCAGGACCATCCAGGAAGACTGCCAACAATACAAATGTTCAAACGTCACTGCAAATCGAATCCAAATCTACAGGAGTAGAGTCAACATGTTGAGTGCACGTGCGCAACGATCTGCTGTATGCATTCAAAGTACAAGAGTTTCCCTTATCCCCTGTTTCTCTTTCTGAGGTTTTAGTCATCTGTGGTCAATCACAGTCTGAAAACAGGTGAGTTTCGTACAGTAAGACATTCTGAGAGAGACAAAGTGAGAGACCGCATTCACATAATCTTTGAGTACACTATATTGTTATAACTTTTATTTTATTATTAGTTGTTAATCTCTTGTGCCTAATTTATAAATTAATTATAGGTATGTATGTATAGTGAAAAACAGAGCACGCATGCACACATACACACACACGCACACACACACATATATAGGATATAGTACTATCTGTAGTTTCAGGCATCCACTGGGGGGTATTGGAATATATCCCCCCTAGAAAAGGGGGACCTACTGTGTATATCTATATTTAAATACAACATATATTAATAACATGAAATCCCCCATTTAGACCATTGTGCGAGTCAGTGGTTTGTAGGATATGCCCAGTGTTGTGTTAACCATTACCACTTCTAATCCGAGAATATTTTCATTGCCCCGAATAGAAACTCTGTGCCCATTAAACAGCCGCTCTCCAGTCCCTGTTCCCTCCATCCCTGGCAACTATTAAAGGCAGAAAATGATGAATTCTGTCTTTACAAATCTGCACATACACCTGCTGGAGACAGAGAAAGAGAGAAGAGAAAGTGAGAACATCTCCACTCTATCAGTGAGGCTGACTCTCTCTTCTGCATAGCGTCAGACTGCCACATCTAACGGACAATTCTTAGTTCTCATCTTGGCAGCACGTGACTGCTTCCCTCGCCCCATTTTCAGGGCTGCCCACAATCTCAGTAAAACTCCCATTTCATGACCACTCCTTTTGGGTCTCCATGACTGCATCCCCCTCCTCCTAATGTCCCAGTGCGGATGTCTCAAGATCATGGGCCAGCTCCATAGCCAGTGGTTAAGGGAGTCAGATCCCATGTGGCCCACTGAGGTTCAAGTTCTGTCCCTGGCGGCTTGAAAAACACACTGGGACAAATGCATGTGTGTCCCAAATCCCAACAGGATGGGGCTATGGAGAGAAGGTATTGCGGCATAACTACGCCCCGTGAGGGGGTGCTTTCTCTCTCTCGCTAGTGAGCACACATGACCTCTGGCAATTCAGGAGAAAAAGTTTTTCTAAGGGATAAAGATTCTTGCAGCAACAAGGATCCAAAGTACAGGCAAAATGGTGGCCACTGAGGAAGAAAGGAGCACATCCCTTTTTAGAATGGAAGAAATGTGAGAGAAGAATGGACAGAGAGGAATTACTGGGAATGGTAGAAAAACATCGCCTTAGGAGCTGATGCCAACAAGGTCTTTGCTCTTCATGTCTCAGGTCTTTGCTCCCTGGTAGAGCTTGGAAGGATGCTTCCTGACAGTAACACAAGTTCTGCTGTGAGCTCACTCACCCAGTGGGCTATTATTCCCTAGTGACCTCCCCTATCAGATCAGCCCTGGCTCACCTGGGCACCACAGTCCTGTCATAGCATTTGCAATCATCCAAGGTTCTTTCCCTTGCTCCAATAAGGAGATGACATCAGGCTTAGAAATGGCAAGTCCTGTTTACAGGAAAAGAAATGGGGCATGATCACAGTGTTCCAAAATTCAAACCCAATCGCTTGGTCACTAAGGAAAAGAGGCAAAAATGCTCTGGTCAAATTAAAACAAGTAATAGGGCCGGCAGGTGACGTGGTGATTAAGGCGGCTGGACTCCCACATGGCTGACCATGGTTTAAGTCCTGGACCTGGCAGTTTGCTTTTTCGCTTTCCTCCTCTCTCTCTGTCTCTCTCTGGTCAAATTAAATCATTCTTTTAAAAAAATTAAAATAAGAAAATAAATGAAATGAAATAAATAATTCTTTAGAAAAGGGAGGGGCAGCAGGTGGCATGGTGGTTGAGGTGCTGGATTTCCACAAAAGTGGATGATGGTTTTGAGTCCCAGACCTGGCAGCTTGTTTTCTCACCCTTCCTCTCTCTTTTGGTTTCTCTCTGATCAAATTGACTTAAAATAATAATACATAAAATTTTTTAAAATAATTTTTTTTAAAAAAGAGGCAAAAGTGGAAAAGGAGGTGGTTATCAAGGTTATTCAAAGGATGGGAAGAGGGACTTGCCCAGTGGTACTTCCTAATGGTACTTCCTACCATTTCGTTTTACAAAGCACAAAACAATTCTTTTATGAACAGAGAACAGATATTTAGCTGGAAGCTTATAAAAGTTGCTCTAGTAATTCATAAAGAAGAAAACAGAAATTCCAGAAGGCTAGTCCTAAATTATTCAGAGTAGATGACTATGGTGATTAGTCTCTAGTAACCCTCTGCTTCCCCTCCAATCTATTCCTTGATGTTCCTCGGCCCTGTTCTGTGCCTCAAACAGCTTTTACCTGTAGGGACTGTATTACCTCTGCCCTGTGGGTTCCCACTGGGTTGGCAGATAGAAAACCCCAGCAGGTCAGCAGGCAGGAGGTGAGGCAGTGCAAAGCATTTCTTGCCTCTTTCTCTCCCTCCTCTGACCCTGGAATTCAGGAGCCAGCGACAGGTGCTATAGGCTGGACCCTTCTCTGTGGCTCTAGTTCTGAGTTTCTCAGGTAGCACTGCTTCCTCTCTTCATCCCTCGAGCCAGCCGAGGAAACAGCCTGCCTCAGTTGTAGTCCCTGGGTGCCTTGTTTCCTGTCTGGGCCTGGGTGATACAATATCCTTACCAAGTGAGACCAAATGACCAAAGTTCTCCAAAGTCACATCCCTGTACAAGTCCCTCTGGGCAGGTTCCAGGCACTTCCATTCTTCCTGAGAGAATTCTATGACCACATCCCTGAATGTCACCAATCCCTGAAACAATAAACCCAAGCATTACTAGTAAATTAAAGGACTTTTCCTTTTTTCACCTTTTATTATGAAAAATTTCAAAACACAGAAAAGTACAAAAATTATATAATGACCCCATGAATCCATCACTCTGCTTCACCAACCAACAAGATTTCACGTATCTTGTTTTATGGCTTCCCTTCCATTGTTTACTCCTGGTGTATTGTGAGACAAATTCCACACAAGAATCCTAGTGATACTTCACCCATAAGTACTTTAGCAACTTCACCCACAAATATTTTAGCATCTAACAGATTATAGAGTTTTAAAAAAGGCTTAACAACCAGAATATCACTGTCATACTGAACAAAATTAGTGATCGTTTCTACTTTTTTTTTTAAATAAGCTTTTGCTATAGGGTGTGTGCGCTTGCCAGAGAGACAGAGAGATAGAAAGCAAGAAATCACCCCCTGGGGGGATGGCCATGCCGCAATCTCTTCTCCATTCTCCTCTCGGGATCTTGGGCACGCACGCACACACACCCAGCGTGAGTTTAAGTCACCGGGTCTGGAACTTGACCTGCAGTTGACAATATGGGAGTCCAGTGACATAGCCATTACGCCAACTGGTCCCACTAGTGATCATTTTAAAAAACCAGATTAAGTTCAAATCGCCCCAATTTTCTCAAAAGTGATAGTTTTTTAATGATAGAAAGCCATGCATGAGAGAGAGAGAGAGTGAGAGAGAAAGCACCCACCATATAGTCTCATCACACTGCCATTTCCCTTACCCAGGCCTTCGACACTTCAGGGTCCTGGATGCCCTGAAATCCTGTGGTTTTTCAGGCTGACCTGTGATCTGAACCAAGGACACGTATGCTTCTAGCACTGCAGGGCACTAGTGTTTCTGCTGCACCATGGTGACTGGACCGCAAAAGTGATTTTTTTTTTTTTTTATTTCCAGAGGGCATGTGCGCTTGCCAGAGAGAAACAGAGAGGAAGAAGGAGAAAGGAGCCCCCTCAATGGGGCATGGTCACGTTGCCATCCCTACTCCTCCATTTGTCCATTCTGTTGGGATTCTGTGCATGCATGTGCACAAACCCAGTGTATTTTTCAAGCCTCCAGGCTGGGATTCAAACTGTGGTTGGCCAAATGGCTCCTTTAACTATTAGGCTACAATGCTGGCCCTCGTATATTTTATTTTTTTTAAAAGAGGTTTTTGCCATAGGATGCGTGCTCTAGCTGGAGAAAGAGACAGAGATAGCAAGAGGGAAAGTGAGAAATCACCCCCCAAAGGGAATGGCCATGTTGCAATCCTTTCTCCTCTATTCTCCTCCTGGGATTTTAGGCACACCTATTTTTTTCTTTCTACCTTTCTTTTAAAAAAAGTATGTATTTAATTTTATTTATTGTTATTATTATCTTTAATTTATCAGAAAGAGAGACAGAGACAGAGAGTGGGAAACTGAGAAATCAAGCTGCCAAGTACAGGATTCAAACCATGGTTGGCCATGTGGGAGTCCAGCACCTTAAACACTATGCCACCTGCTGGCTCCCTTGTTAATATTCTTATTTCTCCACTGCCTATTTCTTATTCTTGAAAAAAGAAAGCTGGTGGAAGATGAACCTGAGTCACATGAATGTGGTCCACAACCAACACATACCAGTCAAAATGGATTTTATGATTATTCATCTTTCATAAATTCCCTTGCAAGATCAAAGAACTTTCAGTAACTGAAGTTTTCAATCACAGTTCTAAAGGACTCACAGTACAGGAGATGTTAGCACACAGTCAGACCAGCACCAACTACTTCAGTTCCTACCAGGTCTACATGAAAACCTGATGTTGGATAATTCACAACTAACATCTCTTAAATGTATTTCTTTTTTTTTTATTAAATGAATTATCTTATTTAATATTGCTTATTACTTTTTTAAAAATTTGATCATTGGTGGGGGGAGTGAGAAAGCAAGCTGCCAGGTCTGGAACTTGAACTGTGGTCGGTCATATGACAGTCCAGTGCCTTAATCACCATGCCACCAGCCAGCCCCCTTAAATGGATGTCTTCCTCAAATAATTATTTATTTATTTAATTCAATTTGTTGTTATTTATTTATTTTTTGGAGAGGTTTTTGCTATAGGGCACGTGCACTCGCCAGAAAGACAGAGACAGAGAGATAGAAAGTGAGAAATTACCCCCCAGGGGGGATGGCCACGCTGCAATCCCTTCTCCTCCATTCTCCTCTCGGGATCCTGGACATGCACGCATACGTGCCCAGCGTGAGTTTAAGCCACCAGGTCTGGGACTCGAACTGTGGTCGACTACATGGGAGTTCAGTGACATAGCCATTAAGCTAACTGCTGGTACCTGTTACTGTTATTTTTTAATTTGACCAATTTTTTTTTTTTTAATTTGACCAGACAGAGACAGAGGGAGAGAGAGAGAAAGGGAAAGCAAGAAAATAAGCCGCCAGGTCTGGAACTTCAACCACAATTGGCCATGTGGGAATCCAGCCCTTTTAATCACTGTGACACCTGCTGTCCCCCACCTTAAATGTACCTATAAACTCTCAGAAAGGGAAATTAAATCCCAGAGCTAATAAAAGAAGCAATACAGGGAACCAGCAGTTAGCGTAATGGCTATGTCGCTGGACTCCCACGTAGTCGACCGCGGTTCGCGTCTCGGACCCGGTGGCTTAAATCTCACGCCGGGCGTGTGTGCGTGCGTGCCCAAGATCCCGAGAGGAGAATGGAGGAGAAGGGATTGCGGCGTGACCATCCCCCCTGGGGGGTGATTTCTCGCTTTCTGTCTCTATGTCTCTCTCTCTGTCTGTCTGGCGAGTGCACGCTCCCTATAGCAAAAAAAAAAAAAAAAACCTCTCCAAAAAAAAAAAAAAAAGAAGCAATACACACACACGCACACACACACACACGCACAGCTGATCCCAGGTAAGCAAATAGGTTAGCAGGCACCAACTTGCTTAGGGGATTAACCTTGGGACATATACCAAATGGAGCATGAACCCATGGAAAAGCTGAGATCTCTCTCTTTTTTTTTTAAAGATGGGTCAGCAGGTGGCGTAGTGGTTAAGGCATGGCATCCCACATAACCAGCTACATGGTTTGAGTCCTTGACCCGGAGGCTTGGAAAACACACCAGACACGTGTGTGTGCATGGCCAAAATCCTAAGAGGAGACTGGAGGAGAAAGGACTGCAGCATGGCCATCTTCCCTTGGGGAGTAATTTCTCACTTTCTCTTTCTCTCTGGAAAGTACACGTGCCCTGTGGCAAAATCTGAAAAAAAAAAAAATGAGCAAAGGGTGCATGTGCTTGCTAGAGAGAGACATAGAGACAATGGGAGAGGGTGAGAGAGAAAGCATGCTCCATGGAGAGTGGTCACGCCACATCCCTGTTCCTCCATTTTCCCATTCTATCAGGATTTGGGGCACACACATATATGTGCCCAGTGTTTCTCAAGCTGCCAGGTCTGGGACTCAAACTGTATACAGTTGGTTATCCAACTGCCTGAATCACCAGGCCACAGAGCAGCCTGAAATAATGAGATCTTTTTTTTTTTTTTTTTTTTTTTTAGAATTTTTTTTTTTAGTGGTGGGTGTGCTCGGCAA